CCAGTGTGGAGCCCAATGTGGGGATCATGACCTGAGTCAAAATCAAGAGTTGGGCACTCAACCAACTGAGCCACCCAGGCGCCCCACAATGTTTTTTTAGTCTTTAGAATGAAGGAGTGGCGCCCTTCGTGAAGCTGGGAGTCAGGAAATGTCGTGACTAGTGTGACTTGAGAAGAAAAACAGGGCAGCAAGCTGAGTGCTATCAAGCCTTTAAAAAAGAAAATCTAGCAACTGAACTATAACATCTTTAGAATGTTATTTTGGGGGTTTTCAGGCTTCCAGGAGAATGAAAGTGAGATAATTTGCTAAGAACAGACCTTTGTTCTAAGAACAGACTACTGAAGTATGTAAGAGACGAGTGTACACTTTTTACTTTGATGATTAGAGAATGACAGTCTTATGAATTCCAAAAAGTTCTCTGTATGTCTTGTAATGTTGATTGCAGGAGAGAGAATCCACAGCTGAGAGATTTGTTTGTTTTATTGTTAGCTACTTTGATCAGGAATAATTTACAGAGTATTTGGAATGAGTTTTGGTTCTCTTCCCTGTAATCAAAATAGAATTATTTAGAAAGGTTTGATTATTTGTAAATGGAAGATGTACCTAGTGGTAGGAGGAACACCATAGTGCCTGTCAGTTCGGTTTGTCCCTGTTCTGTGAAGGAGCTAAAGTGGCTGATGACCTGGCTCCTGGAACTGTGCCTGGGATCATGGTGAGAAGACTTGTATATTTCTCTACCCTAAGTCAGCGTGATTCTTTTTTTTTTTTTTTAATTTTTTTTTTTAATGTTTTATTTATATCTAGGAGAGAGAGAGAGACAGCGTGAGCAGGGCAGGGTCAGAGAGAGAGGGAGTCACAGACTGAAACAGGCTCCAGGCTCTGAGCTGGCAGTCAGCACAGAGCCCGACGCGGGGCTCGAACCCACGAACCGTGAGATCATGACCTAAGCGAAAGTCGGACGCTTAACCGACTAAGCCACCCAGGCGCCCCTAAGTCAGCATGATTCTTGTCTCTGAGTCTTTATTTGTCTTCTCAATTATGATATCTGCCTTTTGAAATTATTTTCTCTCCATAACGCCTCTTAACATCACTTTGGAAGTTCAGTATCAGTGTGGACAACCCTTTAACTCTGAAGACCTTCATCCCTATTCCACTTCAGCCACCTACTCCCATAGCTTGGATTTTGTGATCATCTAGAACTGTTCTACCTCTGAAACCTCAGCCTCCACTATCTCATGGTCCAGCCATAACTTCTTAAGTTTTCAGCTTTTATATTCTGTACTTACACTCTGCCTATTCTCTGATTATATCAGATTCTGGTACTTTGACTTGTATATGTGAAGTGTGTGGCAAGTAATCTCATGTTCATGTAGTCAGTAAGTATTTGTTGAACACCTGTCTTGTTCTGTGCGTATAGCAGTAATCAGAAGTGATCTGCACCCTGCCATTATGAAACTTTTAAGTTTACTGAATGGAAATAGACATTAAAAAACATTTAAAAATATATACTTACAAATTTGAATAAGTGCTATAAAGTAGTAAAGAAGGTGCTGTAGAGGAAAATAATATGAGGGGATCAGAAGATGGGTGAAATACGGGAAGGGGATTAAGAGGTACAGTCTTAAAATTATAAAGTAAATATGCCTCAGGGATAAAAAGTACAACATAAGGAATATGGTCGGCAATATGGTAACAACTTTGTATGGTGACAGACAGTAACTACACTTATTGTGATCATTTCGTAATGCATATAAATATTGAGTCACTATGTTGTACCCTTGAAACCAGTACAGTATCTTATATTGTTCTTCAGTTAAAAAAGAAAAGGATAAGAGGAAACTACTTTAGATTCGGTGATAAAAGGAGGATTTTCTGACGTGACATTAAGATGGAGGCTAACAGATTAGAAGTTCCTTGCCTTGCACAAAGTTAGGGGAATAGTGTTTCGGTTATAGAAGCAGCATATATGGAAGCCTAGAGGCAGGGTGAGCTGGATGAGTCAGAAGAAATGAAGGAAGGCTCATGTGGCTGGAATGTAGTGAGGGAGGGAGGGTAGCCTGAAGTGATGTGGGCCAGTTGAATAGAGACTAGCTGAATCAGGGCCTTGTAAGTCATGTTTAAGAGTTTGATTTTAAACAAAATGTTATGGGAAATACTTAAAAGGTATTAAGCTGGTAAATGACACAGTCTGTTTTTATGTTTTAAAAAAGATCATTCTGTCTTCAGTATGCAGAAGAGATAAGGAAAAAGCTATGACTCTTAAGAGGAAAGGTATTTCTGTGTCTATGTCCATTGCTGGCTTAAGTGAAGATAGTGGGGCATGGAGTAGATTTGAGAAATGTATTCAAGCTAGGAGTGTCAGGATCTGATGGTTGAATGTTGGAAGATAGCGGAGAGGGAGGTGTCAGGAATGACTCCCAGGTTTCCAGTATGAGCAAACTGATGTGCCACCTGTTCAGGGGTGTGTGTGTGTGTGTGTGTGTGTGTGTGTGTGTGTGTCTGAGTATAAGAATGAGGGTTCAGAAGCATGGTCTGGGGTGGAGATATACGTTTGGGAATTGTTCCATACAGAGGATATTTAAAACATTGGGAGTGGGTGAGAGGAGAGGGAGGAAATCATAGGACCCAGCAGTACGATTGTGATTGATGCCTTTTTAAAATGTTTGTTTATTTTTGAGAGAGTACAAGCTGGGGAGGGGTAGTGAAAGGGGGAATGAGAAATGTCTGGGTGGCTCAGTTGCTTAAGTGTCCAACTTTGGCTCAGGTCATGATCTCATAGTTCGTGGGTTCGAGCCCCGCGTCGGTCTCTGCTGACAGCTAGCTCAGAGCCTGGAGCCTGTTTCAGATTCTATATCTCCCTCTCTCTCTCTGCTGCCCTGCTCACACTGTCTCTCTCTCTCAGAAATAATTAAAACATTAAAAAAAAAAAAAAGAAAGGGGGAATGAATCTGAAGGATTCAGATCTGAGGCATCTGAAGCAGGCTCTGTGCTAACAGCAGAGCCCGAGGTGGGGCTTGAACTCATGAACCGTGAGATCATGACCTGAGCTGAAGTCAGACGCTCAATCACCTGAGCTACCCAGGCATCCTGTAATTGATTCCTTTCTTTCTTTTTAACATTAGACCTTAGAATAGATTTAAGGTTAGACTTCTGAAATGAATCTCATTTGCACTCAGATAAAATTTCTTGGTGAGAGAAAGGGATAGAGTTTCTGCTACTTGGGAGGTTGGAGGGTGAAGGAGTAGAGGGAGGGTCTTAGGGATTTATATGGTCTCCAAATTATTTTATTTATGGACCAATTTACAGTATGCTCCAGTTATGAGTGTTTCTCATCCTTCATATGGGTAGCAGAGAAAAAAATTTGAGAGCTTCTGAACCACAGGTTAATGTTCATAGTAAATATGATGTTTTCCACAGTCTTGTCCTCAAGGGCCTATCCACACTCATAACAACCGCTCCCCTCCAGACTCTATCTATGCGTGTTATATTCTGTTGTTATGACCTAGGCCCAGAATTTCCTTTTTCATTGAATAAACAGGCTAATAATTTAAGTCTCTGTTTTAGAGAAAGCTTTCCCTGATTCTCTTAGGCAAACTTTGGCCTTTCCTTATATTCCCAGTGTGCATTGATTATAGCAATTATTTAATTAAATTTTACTGTTTCTTGGATAGACTGTATCCTCACCCAGCTAATTTCCTTGATGGAAGGGATTGGTCTTTTTTTCTTTATATGTCTTTTAAGAAAGCATTTTAATGTTTGAATTACCATTCTGTCTTTGAGTAGCCAAATATGGCTTACATCACTTTCTGATAAGACAAAGTTTATTTAAGGTTTAGAAAATATGGGAAGCAAGAAAACAGTTGAAAATATCTTTCCTAGGTCTTCTTTAATAGGTAGTTAAAATATATATTTTAAAACTATGAGAAGGCAGTCTCTAATGTGTATTCTTTCTTACCAGTATCAATGCTTGATATTTATTTAAAATAAAGATTTGGGGCACCAGGCTGGCTCAGTTGGTTAAGCATCTGACTTCGGCTCAGGTCATGATCTTGTGTTTTGTGAGTTCGAGCCCCACGTTGGGCTCTGTGCTGATAGCTCGGAGCCTGGAGCCTGCTTCAGATTCTGTGTTTCCCTCCCTCTGCCTTTCCCCTGCTCACACTTTGTGTCTCTCTGTCTCTCAAAAATAAATAAAAACATTTAAAAAATAAAAATAGATAAAGATTCAAGGTACTGAAGGAAATAGAGGTTGACTTAATGGAATTGTTCTAGTTATTTGAATTAACACTTCTTTTTTTAATGTTTATTTATTTTGAGAGAGAGTGCATACTTGGGAGGAGCCGGGAGAGAGAAGGAGAGAGAGAATCTCAAGCACGTGCTGCACTGTCAGCATGGAGTTTGACGCAGGGCTCGATCTCACAAACTAGGAGATCAAGGCCTGAGTCGAAGTCAAGTGTTGGACACTCAACTGAGTAAGCCTCCCAAGGTGGCCCTAAATTAACATTTCTGTGAAATACCTGAGAATGTTAATTTTTATTGGGAACCATTGGTAGTTAAACAACAGAGTAGAAATACTGTAAAATTTCGTTGCAGATTTCTAGTCTACCAGTTGATTTATACAGTGATTCAGTTTGTGTCCCCTCTGTATATAGTAAAAAATGGCAGTTTTTGTACTTGTCAATATTATAATCTTTTACTGCTCTGATATTTAGTGGAGGTTTTTCATTAGATTTGAAGAGAAAATTAGGTCATGAATTTATTCCATTTTTTTTAAAAATCAGCCCAAATGAAGAGCTCTCAGGGGGAACTTCTTATGAAGCCATTCTGCACATCTCTTACGGAATTCTTTATTTGCCAGAGTGCGATAGAAAAACGCTGTCCTTGTAGTCAGCAAGTACATGTAACATTTCATAGCCTTAGCGTGTGTACAGCATATTATTCTGAAACTACATACTTAGCTTTCTAATGAAAGACTTTTATTTATTTCTTCCTTTCTCTTATAGGAATATATTTGTCCCAGATGTGAATCAGGCTTTATTGAAGAAGTGACGGATGATTCCAGGTATTGTACAAGCTCATGAATAAATCAGGCATTCAGTTATCAAAATTATTTTCTCTCAGCATCGACTGAATGAATAGGAAGAGATTTGTTTCATAACTTATGCTCTCTGCCAAGAGAGAGGGAGGGAAAGAGGGCGGAAAAGTGGCAGAGGGAAAGGTAATAAAAATGGGAAGATTTAGAATGTGATGAGATGAGAGGTACCGTTTCTGATCATATGTGTGTGGCATTCCTTGGAAACCTCTGTGTCCATATCAGTAAATCTGGTAAGTTTTCATTCTTTTTCTGAGACTTTGGTGTTCTTTTAGATGATTGGGTGGTTTTTAGTGACTGCTCTGTTGCTTGAAGGTGAATTGCTGTTATAGTCTTTTGTGGGGGGGCTGGGGAGCTGGGGAGCGACTCCTGACAAGGTGGATAGGCTCTGCTAACGAGGGAAGTGGAGCAGTTAGGTCCCTTGTTACTAAAATTAATTGCCATCAGACTTATGCCATCTTATCACTGTAGTATTAATATTGGGGTTTGTAATGCTTGAAATTGGTCTTATTAAAGGTATAAAACCTATAAAAAGGCGAACTATTTCTCAGTGACAGTATTTTATATTACATCTTGGTTAATATGAATAAAACTATAACAAAAAGTAGAATCGCATTGATAGGATGGCCTTTTTTGGCTAAACATAGTGGCACATTTGTTCTTTTATGGCTCTGTGGTTAGACAGTGGTTGGACAAATGAAGAAATACTGACTGGATAAACAGAACCTGTAATTTGAAGCTTCTTTTCATCTTGGGGTGACTGGAGGTTTTAATGGCAGTAAATAATTCCTTTACTATTGCTGTTGGCAGACGCTAAAGTTGAAGGTCCCTTCCACAACCAGGAAAAACTACACATTTTACAGTATGTACTATTAGTGTAACTTGATTACTGATTGGTGATTATATGTATACATGAACTGGAGCTTCTGGGCCAGCATGAGATCACGTTTGATACAGACACTGACATGTTAATCTAATGGCCTTGGTTTTAAATGACATAATACCTGCTCTAAACCTGTAAGATTAACATGAAAGTGAAAGCAGTTTTGTGTGAATGGCCTACTAACTTGGGGTAGCTTTTTATTTGTGCTCTTATAATTGCATCAAATACTTATTGCAGACACTTAACGCTGTGCATGTGTTAAATAAGGAGCATATTGGTTGTTGGGAAGCAGTTAGTGGGCTTATTTTTTTTTTTTCTAAGTTTTTAAGTAGTAACCTGGTTTCTTTAGCCCTGTATACAAAGTATGGTTATAAGTGCAGATGGTGATAACTGCAGGATGAATCTTTTTTTAGCAGGGAACTATGAATTTTATGGATCCTGCATTCACTTGCCTTAATTCTTGTATTTATGCCTTTGTAGGTCAGAGGTTGTCCTGTACAAGTGCTATTGGTAGCAAATACTCCGGTGTACAGATTATGTCTTTTAAAAGTTCAAGATTTTATTTATGTTTTCTTTAAATGTTTATTTTGAGAGAGAGTGCGTGCGCCCATGCGTGCGCAAGAGGGAGAGAAAGAATTCGAAGTAGGCTCCGTGTGCTAAGCCGGATGTGGGGCTTGATCTCACAACCATGAGATCATGACCTGAGCTGAAATCAAAAGTCTTAACTGACTGAGCTCCGAGGTGGCCCTGAAAGATCAGTGTTTTAAATGTTTGAAGAAATCTTTTTCTCAGAATCAGCATCCTAGAGCTAGCATGGTATTCCCTTCTGTGAAGTTCCTAAACATTTGCTGATTTGCATACTTAGCAATTACAGTGTAAATAATGGATGGTAAAAATTAATGAGAAGAGGTCCTTACGTGTAAATACTGGATAATGGGCTCCAGATGCTACTAGACGTTCATGTGAGGGGCATCTTGTAAGTTTTCTTGAGCTTTGTAACATTATCAGAAGATGTGGTTGTTTGATTATCCCTTCTCTATGATTAGCCCTGTTACTCTTCAACTGTGGAGGAATTTTAAGGAAAGGGAATGCTGAGGGAGTTTCAAGGGGAGCAGAACTGTAAAAAATAGTTGATAGCTTTAATTACCAAGAGTATTTGAATCTCTGAAACCGTGTAGTAAAGGCAGAAAAGAGCCCTGGAAGCCTGTCTAAGCCTGAGCAATAAAATGGGTAGATGGTGGTAGTTGAATTATTTACTTAATTTAGCATAAATATACTAGTACTTCTGAGCTTGTTCTACATTTGAAATGTTTTTACAAAAGTGTTTTTAACTTTTGAAACAAATATAAGTGTTAAATGGTTTCTGATTAGCACATAGGCCTGAGCATGACTACATAGAGAATGGCATTAGCTTTACTATTTCACTTTTGGTTCTGTACTAACCAGAGTGTCTGTGTTTCCTCAGTGTGCTGAGCACAGTGCCTGGATTGGTTTTCTGAAAACGAAAGCTATTACAGTAGTTTGTGGACTTGTATCATTGGAGTGACTGTGTGTACATGTTTGTAGGCTTGTGTCTCTTGAAGTAAAAGTGGTATCTAGCATTTCTTCTGATTCTTTCTATCTGCCCCCCCAAATGTTATTAGCCATTTTCCTCTTCCTTCCTTCCTTCCTTCCTTCCTTCCTTCCTTCCTTCCTTCCTTCCTTTCTTCTTTCCTTTTCTTTTCTTTTCTTTTGCAAATTTTATGGGACCGTGTGATCTAATATTTCTCCCTAATCTTTAGGAGTAATTTTATTGTTTCCACAGTCAATTTTAGCTCAACAGCTTTTATTTTTTCAAGTTATCAATATAGAATGCAGCACTTCAGGTTTTCAAAAATGATGAGTGCTCTGTATAATGTCTGATATACAATAAACACTTTGCATATATCTATGGTATTAATACAGTCTTTACCCTTTGGATTTATATTTATGAAAGGAGGGAAGGGTTAGAAATGGGTGAGACAAATACTAGATTATAATATGGTAGAATTTAGAATCAAAGTCAAAGTGCAGAGGGGTGTGGAGGATCCTCATTTGGTTGATGAGTTCAGAAAGACTTAATGAAGGAGGTAGCATTTGAGATGGGCCCTGAAAGATGTATAGGATAATCAAAGAATAGGAAAAACTGTCAGAAGGAGAAAAAATGTTTATTGAGTTCTTTCATAATGTGCTAACTATCATACCAGACCCCTGGCTGTACTATATTTAATCATTCCCAAGTAGTCTCACATGTTGTGTTCATCTGGTAGTTGAATAAGTTTTTAGTGAAACGTTTTGAGAATCTTGTTTTAGTTCTTCGCCTCTTTGAGAATACATGTATTTCTTCTCTTGCTAGGAAAAATTTGAATTGCATTGCTGGCTGTGGGTCCTTCTTCCTACTCTGTGGTGGCCCCTCTTTCCAATTTTTCACTTGATTTATGCTCGATTTTTGTAGTTTGTTAAAATGTTTTTCATAGATTAATCCACATGCCTGTTCATAATTTCCTTTGTAGGTGTCACGTTGGGATGAGTTATTTTCCCTTATTGGGCTTTGTTCTCATTGTACCATTCTATATTTAGCTTCTGGGAGGGAAGCTTGCTCCTAGGAATAGAACCAGTACTCATTCCTTTTTCTCTTCAGTTTTTTAGGTGGTGGTGGCAGCCGGATAGACAATAGCACATCAACACATTTTGCAGAGGTAAGTTTTCCTTTGGCTTGTAGGGATTCTGTAGGGAGTGAGTGGGTGTTAAAATCATGACAGATTTTCACTTCCCAGTGCAGCAAAACATCAGAATCTATAAGAAAAATGTGGGCAAGAGTAGCCCTCAGGAAGATTTGTGATTTTAGTAGTTGGGCCTTTGGCCTGTTACTTTTAGTAAACCCTTGATTAAGAGAGAGTAACCTCCTTGATCTATGCTGTTTTGAACCTGGTGGTGTTTTCAATTCTGTTTTCTACCTCCTGAATTGTGTGTATGGTGTGAGAAAAAGGGCTGTGGTGTTTGTGAAACAACAGTGCTGTGTACTTGGCTTTGGTGATGTGACAGCCAAGTAAAGAGCAGGCAGAATGAGTTGTAATTGAAGTCACAACGATGCAGTCTTCAGCTGTGCACAGAGGTACTGCTTTGTAGAGGTTGCCTCTAATGAGCATGGTGGTTTGGTGTGATTGGAGTTAGGGGGCCAGATGAACAAAACTGTATTTACTTGCCTTCCAGATCTCAAGGTGGGACCTATAATTAATTTCCAGTTCTTCATATAATGTAATATCCATATTTTGCGGAAAAATTCCCAACTATGATTTGAAAAAAGGTCTTAGTCTGCATCCTGGAATACCATTTTACATTAAATTCAGAGTAATTTTCTTTTTCACTTTATTCATTGACTTAAAATCCCTTGTTTGTTTGCTTTTGGTCATTTTAACCGTTTTTAAGTGTATAAGTAAGTGGTGTTAAATGCTCTTTGTTTTTAATCATTTAGTGATACAGCCCATAAGGGACAGACCATCTGTTTCAGCCTACAGGAAACACTGGTTTGCTTTTGCTTCTATTGCCACACTACTTGGTTGGCTTTAGAAGGCTAACAGATGCTAAAAGAAAAAAGTTAAATCCCATAATCAGGATTTTTTTGTGTTTGTTTCAGGATCACATTAGCCTTTTCCAGAGATAGCTTAGCTGCATTAGAGGTCTAGGACAATTTCTAATATTTATTTGTGTGTAATTTAAAACTCTTGGCAGTGCGTTGGAAAATTGGTGTTCAGTAATCCCATAAAATCCTAAGCTTCTCTCCTTTATCCTCTGAAAATTATCTTAAGAACTGACCCCCCCTGCCCCCCCTCCTGATTTTTATGTTGTAGAATTACAGTCAAGAAGCTTGACAGAATGTTTGAGTAAAAGTCCTGTTTTATTAAGGGTATTTTCTTTTACTTATGGTCTGTGTACTTTTTAACATCCAGTCTTAAGGTTTTTGGTTAACTCTGTAGTGCCTTAGTACATGGGCCGATTAGAGTGTGCTTTAAGACCTTTCATGTCTTTGAACTCCCGGTTTTATTTTCTTATTTTGATGAATTAAAAGACATTATTTAAGATTTAGTGTGCTTGCCAGGCTTGGAAGCCTTTCCGATTTTAGTATGGTTTTCCCTGTGTGTGCTATTCCTGATAACACACAGTGTCACTTGCTGATTATAGATAATGCTAAGGAAGCTTCATCTGATTTTCTTTAAATGTTAGTTCTCTTAGGAAATGGAAAAACTTGGGTCTGTCAGTTTTATAGATATGACTCACCAGGAGGAGATGCATTCAGAAGAAAAATAAATATAGGTAGTCAGTTTCCTAACTTTAGTAATGCTAAATCTGTTCTTGATGGCATGAGCTGTCCTTCAGGTGTGAAAGTAATTTTGCTGAGTCATAGCCGGTGGCTTCATGTCCCTTAGGGTTGTAGCAAGGGCAGGATTATGCCCGGTTTTCCCTCTGTAGAACTCCCTGGTCATCATGCTTGAATGTGTCAGTTTTCTCCTTTTTGAATTTAGAAGATAGAAAAAACTCTCTCTTTATAACATTATAGAAATTGCCAGGCATTTAACTCAATCAGCTAAAAAGTATGTATTGAATGTTTTATGCACAGCACTCTGCTGGAAGCAGGGCAAGAAGCAAGTGTCATGGTCGCCTTGCCTGCAAGGCACTTAGAATTCAGTTGGGGAACAAGTACAAGCACATATGAAGCAAATAAGAAAACAAAGAGTGTACGGAGAATGTGCTAACCTTGTTGTGGGGTGTGTGTGACAAGCACAGGAGAAGGGAGAGGCTGGGGGGCTGCCGTCTCCGGGAGGAAAGGTCAAGTGACACAGCAGAATGCCCAGAACAAGATCGCTTCAGTTCATATCCTGGGTTGAGCACTTACCTGCTCTGTAAATTGGGGAAAGCATCTACCTCATAGGGACCCAATGAATTAATCCATGGTAGGTGTGCAGGCCACTGTGCCTGCCATGCAGTGGGTTTTAGTACATTTTAGCCATTGTTAAAACTTCATGGAAAAGGTAAAACTCCTTCATGGAGAAGTTAAAACGGTAGATGGATATTTAGATAAGCAATGAGGTGAGAAAAACTATCTCAAAACAGTATTCATAAATTGTAAGGTTTTATACTCTTGTCCCTGGGTAAAAAAATGTAGAAAATTATAAATAGAAACCAAAGTGTTTTTTTCCTTTTCCAGAGTTTAGCTTGATGATTTCAGCAAAAGCTTATGCTCAATTTTGTTCTATTTTTTTTTCAGCCAGAGTTGCTTGTACAAAGAAAGATGAGGTTATTTTCTGTAATTAGCATTTACTAATAGCTGGGGAGATAGAAGGTGAAGATGGGGGGGTGGTGAAGGATTGCCAGTTAAGTAGGAGCTTTGTTTAAGTATTGATGAGGGCAGAGAATGAATCTAAAAACGTTGCCAGCAGTTTGTAGAGAGGAAGGACATTGCCGTACTGAGGTCCCTGGTGGTAACCTGGGGAATTGAGCCCATGGCTGCATGAGGGTTTCATTGATTTCTTAAAAGCTTCTGACTGTGATCTGGTACCAGTGAGACATCTGATCTGAGAGGCTCAGCTTATCTAGATGATCACTTCAGTGCAAGAGTGTCTGTGGCTGCTGCCTGGGATTAGCAGAAAATCAGGTAGATGGCTTCCTGGAAACAGAGCTCCCAGGTGTGCACAGAGGGGCAGGAGGGTGCTCCTCGCATTCTGGTTTATATTTATTGGAACAAAATTTCTTTTGGTATATGATGAGGCATTATAATGACAATTAAAAGGTATTAAAAAACATCTGGAATGCCACTATTCCGAGAGCTCCTTTTTCCCATACATTTCCTTTCAGGTTTTACCTTGAGGCATAGGCACAGATGCTATAATAACATTAAGAAGATTTTTAAAAAATAAAAAATCTCCTGTATTCTCATTACCTTATTTTAGCTTTATTTATTTCCTTGCAATATATCTTACATTAAAATTTTTTTTTTTTAATATTTTATTTCTTTCTGAGAGAGAGAGAGAGACAGCAGAATCTGAAATAGGCTCCAGGCTCTGAGCTGGCAGTCAGCACAGAGCCTGACGCGGGGCTTGAACCCATGAACTGTGAGATCATGACCTGAGCTGAAGTCAGATGCTTAAACAACTGAGCCACCCAGGCGCCCCAATATCTTAATTTTTTACATACATGCTTTTTAACTGTTTTCAGAGGCATTCACAGAGTATACCATATTGTATTTCTGCTTTTTAAAATGTATTTAGGATTATGGCAAAAATCATCTTTTTTGGGGGCGTCTTGGTGGCTCAGTCAGTTAAGCGTCTGACTTCGGCTCAGGTTATGATCCTACGGTTCGTGGGTCTGAGCCCCGTGTTGGGCTGTGTGCTGACAGCTAGCTCAGAGCCTGAAGCCTGCTTTGGATTCTGTATCTCCCTCTCTCTCTGACCCTCCCCTGGTCACGCTGCCCCCCCCCCCCGAAATAAATAAAACGTTAAAAAATCGTCTTTTTTGTAGTTGAAAGAATTGTATATTTTGAGTTTATATTGTTTCACGTCTACATTGTATTAAACTGTTATCTTGTGCTAAGCATTCTGATTATATGTGATACTTGATCATTGATTGTATCTCTTCCCTCCACCTCTGACTCTAGAACTCATTGAGAAATAAACCACAGAAGTCAGACAGATGGAAATAAAAATTTAGTTTTATAGAGCCATATTGGAGAACATACTGATCTGTGGCCAAGTCGACATCCTTGGTCCACATGGGGTGACTCACCTAAGAATTAGAGGTTGCAGAACAGGCATTCAAACTCAGAACCATTTTCTTTGTATTTGTGTAGCATCCCAAAGTGTGAACTCTATCCACTGGAGAAATATGAATCAGCCAGTGTTAGGCTCTTGCTACTTGCCAGTAGGATACGTCACTCCTCTGGTAGAGAGGAAGAATGAGGGATGAATGAAGAGGTCAGAGACGGAAATGAGAGTTTGGATTCTTGCCTCTTCACCTTTAGGTTTAGCAGTTTAAGCCTGAAATGAGCCGGGAGGGTGGCAGTAGTGACTGGGGCAACTGGGGGACAAGATCGGTACTCTGCGAGACAAGTTTTGCTTTTACGAACTCAGTGAGGAAAGACTCTCCAGTACTAACGCGCGCTCTCTGTGTGTGCTCTCGGGGCCTGTGGAGAAGGCTCTGAAATAATAAAAAGCAGCGTAGAGTTAAATCCCATTGAACTAAACAAAATTGTCAATATTCTGTTTTTGACCTACAAAAATGGCAATTTTAAATGATTCAATCTAGTAAAACAGAACTTAAAGACTTTAAGCCATCCTTCCCCAGGTTAACCGTCTTTCCCCCATTTGCTCTTCTCATTCTCAGCCAGAGGGCTTGCACTCAGATGCCCGGTGGAACTTAGGTTCTGTGAGCAGTTACAACTTGGATTGAATCTTAAAGTTTGAATTAATTCAACCAGATCTTTCCATGTGTCTCATTTTTTATTTTATTTTATTAAACAATTTTTTTAATGTTTTATTTATTTCTGAGAGAGAGAGAGAGAGACAGTGTGAGCAGGGGAGGGTCAGAGAGAGAGGGAGACACAGAATCTGAAACAGGCTCCAGGCTCTGAGCTAGCCGTCAGCACAGAGCCCGACGCAGGGCTCCAGCCCATGAACCGTGAGATCATGACCTGAGCTGAAGTTGG